TTCCTTTCCTTCTTCTTTTTCTTCTTTTCTAATTAGTGATACCAAATGATACTCAAATGTTTCCAACTTTAACTGGGGAAGCTTGAAATCAGCGGCATCCCTACATTGGGAGTTAAAAAACATAAGTTTCAAACGAGATAATGAAATGTGTATCTATTATGGAGTTGGGGATTTGGTATGCTGGATGTTAATATTGTAAGCGACGCCGATCTCGGTGACTTTAGTATTGTGGTAATTGACATAGTGCCACATTCCCATGATTGCTAATACATGTTTGTTGAATCTGTTGATTTGTTCATTATGTTTCTTTTTAACTGAACTTTATTAAGTCTCACTTTTTCAAATACGTGATGGAAAAAAACATATCACACTTGGAGACGCCTAATACATGCACCCTTATTACCTTAAGGTTTTTAATCCATAGAGTGTAAACTAGTAGGTGCTTCAATGGGATGGAGACTCAAGGTAAGGTTATATCTTGTTTCTCTTGACTTTGATTATTAAATTTTAGTTTACTTATTGAGCCATATTTTGACATAAATGGTTGAATATGACATAAATGATTGTGTCTTATACCATATATAGATCCCTTTTTTTAAAAAAAAAAAAGATTTAATATTTTATTATATCATAACTCTTGATATACCAAAAAAATTATTATAATAAATTGTTGTTTGTCAAAGTAATATTCTCTGCCTTTCTTCTTCTTCTCCTCTATTTATTAGAAAGTTTAATAACTAGTATAAACTATTTTAATTATTGAAATAATCAAATAATTAGTTATTTTCTCCTAAAAATATCTCCCATTGTATATGTAAGTTTTAACTAAATAATTTTAATTCTAAGATAGCAATCGCAAAGACATTTTTAATTGGCAAAGGCATTTTTAATTGGGAAAACATGTATTCTATATGCCCACGAACTCTAAGGGCATGTTTCATAGTGCATATAACATGTCCAACATGTTTTATAGTGCATATAACATGTCTAAATTTTTTAGAACTTATTTAGTTTGAGGGAAGGGAAGGGGAGGGGAGGGGAGGGAAGGGAAGTAGAAACTATTTTAATTAATTAAATTAAGACATTCTTAAATTAATTTTTTAAATAACTCATTTAATTGATAAAATTGAAGGATATTAAGAAGAAATTATTATAATTAATTAAATTATTTTTTTGACCCAATTACTTAATTTAATGATTAAAAGTCACTTTATCTTTATTTCCCTCAAACCAAATTAGCTTAAACTCTTAATTTGATTTTATTAGACGAATAGCCCTGTTTCCCCTCACTTCAAACCAAACACACCCTTACAGTCACTTAACAGGAATTATCCTTTTCTTTTCTGTTCCACTAAAACTCAGTATTGTAACATTTGGCCCACTTACTTTGTAATTTACGTTTCTCAACTCCTCCAAATTCTAATTACTTTGCTGAAAGTGAAGCATCGACAGGCATAGAGAAGAAGAAGAAGAAGAAAATGCATTACTGGGTTCGAGCTTCTTCTTCTGATTTCTCCGGAACCCTTCCTCAGCCTCGCAGGTAAATCCTAATTTCGTCTACAAGTATAATTGTGTATCGGATCGGATTCTCTTGCTGATCGCGGTGTCGTTTCTCAGTGGTCATTCTGCGGTGGTGATCGGAAAATCGAAGGTGGTGGTGTTCGGTGGACTCGTGGACAAGAAATTCCTCAGTGACATCGTTGTTTACGATATCGGTACTTTCTAATCTTCACCATATGTCCTGGACTTTGAATCTTGCTTATCGAAGTTAATCGCGACACTGCTTTCTTTTTAGCTGATTGTGGATGATCCAAGAACTTGAATAGATCTACAGGTTGTTTGGATGTTCTGAGTTTGTCTGTTTTCTGAATTTTTTGTTGTTTAGAGAACAAGCTATGGTTTAAGCCAGACTGTACTGGGAGTGGGTCTGATGAACAAATTGGTCCCAGCCCACGAGCATTTCACGTTGCTGTTGCTATTGACTGTCACATGTTCATCTTTGGTGGGCGTTCTGGCAGCAAAAGGTTGGGTGACTTTTGGGTCCTAGACACAGGTGAGATTCTTTTGTTTCTAAGCTTGTGAAGCTTCGTGCTTCTATATTACCTACCAACCTGTTGATTTTTATTGAACTATGTCCATTGCAGATATATGGCAATGGTCAGAGTTGACCAGTTTTGGTGACTTGCCCTCACCACGGGATTTTGCTTCAGCCTCAGCTGTAGGAAATAGGAAAATTGTTATGTGAGTTCCTTATTTTGAGTTTGAATTAAAGTAGCTTTGCCAAAGCCAAACTGGGAAAAAAATATTAGGGAATGCGGTTTTGCATGGTACTTATTTTAAACAGGATTGTTTTGAGTTCAGGTTTGGTGGCTGGGATGGTAAGAAGTGGCTGTCAGATGTATATGTCTTAGACACAAGTAACTTCTTTGCTCATCCTTTATACTTGTTTCGACTTTTGATTCATTAGGTTATTCATTGATTTTTGAAGTCATTTTTAATGAGATGATATTATACATAATGTGATTCTGTTCTCAATAGTATCGCTGGAGTGGGTGGAGCTGTCAGTTACAGGATCTTTGCCATCACCTAGATGTGGACACACAGCTACAATGGTCGAGAAACGGTTGCTTGTCTATGGCGGCAGAGGTAGCATACAATGGGTTTTCATGCTTCTTTATCAGTCATTTCTTATTTTTTTCCACCTTTATGCCAAGCATTTGCTGGAGGATTGCCTTTATTTATTGACTGATTTTATTAGTTGATTGTTTATGTTAGCAGCAAGCTGGTGTATTATGTGGCTTAAGTGTGTTACCCTTACCCAACCATTTACACTTAAATGCTTTATTACTTAATGGGAATGAAATTGATTAAAATCGTGAAATTCTGTGTGAAAAAATGCCAGACATTGATGATCTACTTTTAGGATTAATCTTCTTCTTTTGTGTGCTTATGCCAGATCAGAAGCTCTTGCTTTTGTGTAAGGGTCCAGTGTTTATAGGATTGGAATTTGAATGTTGTGTTTTCCCTGCTTTAAATGAACTACTTTGCTTTGATTGTTAATCTTGTGTCCATTTAGCCTTTATATTTGAATCTTGTCTAACATGGAAGCTTTTTGTTCGCTTCAGTTTTACATGTATGACTGTGAAGTTCAAACATTACCATTTGTTAGGGACATGACAAATATACTTGTTTCAGCCTTTAGCTGACATCAATTCTCTCTTGACTTCAACAGGTGGAGGTGGGCCAATCATGGGTGATTTATGGGCTTTGAAGGGACTTATCGATGAAGGTTGGTAGTCAAAAGTTATTTTCCATCTTATTATGATTTAAATTTTATTTACTTTTCCAATTTATTGAGGACATGCTTTTGCTGGCACACATTCTTTTTGTTTGACATTCAGAATCATTAGAAAAACATCTCTTATTTTCTTTACTATTGTCATAGATGTCTTGTCCCTAGATACCATATGTGGCAAATTCTATGTAAAATATTTTTGCTTTACTGTAAAATGCTACTCTGAATAGAACTAATTACTTGTGGAATTCCAGAACTTCATTTTATGCATAACTCTATATTTTCTCCTTCTCATGACAATGTTACCTTTATAAAGGATTTTCCACTAAGAAGGTCCTTTACCTCAATCATTGATTTATCAGTTTCACTGCATCCCTACTACTTTGCCTTGCTGAAAATGATTATTTCCTTGAAAGTGACTGATGGTTTCAATTACTAATTAATATGCTTGTTGTTCTTGCACAAGTTTTAAATTTGAGAATCCTTAACTTGGTTTTGCTTTGATTTGAGATTCAGCAGTCCATTATGTTGAGATTGTTTTTTTCTTTGTTTGCTCCTGTCCTGGTTTTGTGCAGTCTTAGTTCAAAGAATTACTGCTCTCACAATCTTATGTTGAGTTCTTTATTACTAAGTTGATTTTATGTTTGCTTTTCTTCTGGAAGGAAGAGCTTGAAACACCTGGGTGGACCCAATTGAAGCTTCCTGGTCAAGCACCTTCTCCTCGCTGTGGTCATACTGTCACATCAGGAGGGCACTATGTATTAAAATCTCTGATCCTTCACGATTTTAGTTGTGTATTTTACATCGCTTAATAGGACATGTTTGAGAAGATGAGAAAAGAGATTGCAATTATCATTATCCTAATGCTGAAATTTCCTCCTAATATTTAATTTAATGAGTTAAAAATATTTTTTATCCATTGCAGCTCTTGTTATTTGGTGGCCATGGCACAGGTGGTTGGCTGAGTCGTTATGACATTTACTACAATGACTGCGTTGTTTTGGACAGAGGTAAATTTTTTAGTTCAGACCCTGCCCCTTAATGTTGCTTAATTTTAGTTTATTTACAGACTAATTGGTTTTATCCCACTTTATAGTTTCTGCACAATGGAAGCGTTTACCTACAGGAAATGAAGCTCCTCCTGCTCGAGCATACCATTCTTTGATCTATCTGGGTTCACGGTATCTTTTATTTGGTGGCTTTGATGGGAAAGCCACATTTGGAGACATGTGGTGGTTGGTTCCTGAAGGTACCAAGTTAGCTTTTAAGTAGTATGTTCACGTATATCTTGATGGTTGTTGAAGTGACTGGGACTAATGACATGCCATTAATAATGAAAAACAAAGGCCTAGAAAGTGTACAGTTAATATGTGAGGGAGTGTAGGAAATTATGTTTAACGGAATAAACAAAAATAGGGCATGCATTTTCATAGGGTGGGGGAATGACGCTTAGCATGGTTAGTGCAAGTATTCAGTTTGTCTCTGCAACTTACTCCACTTTGATGCATAAATTTAGCAATTAGCATGTTTAAAATGCTTTCTGCTTTCTTCATCTGGTAGAGGATCCAATTGCAAAGCGGTTTACTGTGCCCCCACAAGAAAATCTCCCTGAGAATAAGGTTGCAGTAGCAGCAAATGATACAACCCTATCTGGACTCAAGGTATTATCACAAGGCTCTGCATCATTGTCCAATTCCTTTTATTTAATTTCTTTTGACATTTTACAATTGTTAGAGCTCATGGCTCCTGCCTTGGCTTGTAGTGGCTTTGATTGGATTGAATCTGATTTCTCAAGGCCATTTAACATGTGCCTCTTTCTCTTTTTGGTTTATGGTTTGTCAAAAAACAGTAATGATAAGGCCAAGTTGACCTCATCTAGTTTTATTCATTTGAGATCTCATAAGAAACTCTGATCTAATGAAAGATAATTTACAGCAAAAAAGAAATAAGAAATTGGAAGATCAGATCAGATCTAAAGCTAATTTCAGAATGGATTTCTAAATCTGCTGATCCTACTCCTCCCCCATATCTTCAATAGGAAAGTCAAGAGTCTGCTGTTGCTGAACTGCAAAGAAGACTTGGAATTTCGGTTTCACTATCTAGTTGTGGTCAAATTGTAGATGAGTTAGAAGTCAAAGAACTCATTGAACTGGGAACAAGGATGATGGGAGAAACAATTTACAGTAATGAGCAGGATCTGCACTTTAAGGTAGCTTTATAATTTTCATTTTGTACTATTTTTTACATCTATTTTTTTGAATAATATTCTTTGTGGTACATTAAGCAGGCAATTCAGGCAGTTCGTGATCACTGGAGAAAGTCTACTCCAAGTTCTATACCACTCAAGGAGCTCAGACCTTTGCTACGAGATTACCAACGGCTGATTACTAGTCATTTCTTGTAAGACCTTAACTTCTACTTCATCCAAATGTTTTAGAACCATTTGAATCTAAAAGATGGCAATAGTTTCTGAAGTTGACTCCCAACTATTTACCCTATTTTATAAATTTCCTCCAGAAAGTATCTCAAAAATTAAACACCTTATTTTCTCTCAGTGTTTGAAAAAAAAAATAGAGAATAAAAATATTAAGCAGTGAATCTCATCATATTGTCCCACCTTTTTTTTTTTTTTTTTAATTTCGTATTTGCTCCCAACTACTAATATTTTTTTCTTGGTGGCAGACAAAATTGTGGATCTGATTTGCAGTCCATTGAGTCAGATTTTACTGGAAAAGAAGCTTACAAGTTTTATCATTTGAAAAATGTTTCCCAGGTATGAATCACTTTGGTGTATCTTCAGTAGGTTATTTGTTGTTTTCAGAAGGTATGAATTTGGCTAAATTGAAAAATGTTGTTGTCTCTTTGGTGTGGTTCTGCCTGCCTAGACATTATTTGGTTACATGGCCATATGGACTACTTGTTAGGCTTGAAATTATGTGAGAAATGAAAATATGGCTCTTGCCTCCAAATAACTATTTGAAACCATGGCATAATCCCTCCACTTTCATGGTTCTATCATTTTTCAGCTGCGGATGGATGATATTCCAAAACTACTGGAAGAGTATAAAAAGCTTCTGCCTGATGAGAACACAGTGGTTGATCTTTGTGAGAAATGAAGGAAAAGCTTGCTCTGAGGCATTTTTTCTTTCCTCACATTAAAACATTATGGAGGAGCTTGCTTCTGCCCGAAACTGACCCTGGCCTAACTTTTTTGTTTTAACAATCATCCTTTTCTGTTGAGCAAAGCTAGTTCAGGTAATGTGCTTATCCATCACATAATCCTGGAAAACTTCCTGTCACTACTGTCACTATTCACACTTGAATTTTCTCTACTTAATCATTTACTGCATGTTGTATCATATCCTTTGTGGAGCTTGGGTACAGCTTTGTGTAAACTGGAGGGTGCTAGAATTGCTATTTGCAAAAAATAAACTGTGTTCCAAACGCTTCAGTGCCTGCATTTTTATCATCATTTTGAACCGTTTATAGCAATGCAGTTTATTGGCCATGCATCAGAAACCAAAGAAAGTAACAAGATGGCTACAATCAAAAGAAACTGATATACAAATGTAGCAAGCTTTAGAATGATAAGGGTTTTAAGCCAAAGGGAAGCCAGTAAGAGAAGAGAATGGAACTGAAAACGACATCTATTGTAGATATTCGATGTTCTTGCAGAACTCCTCTAGCTTCTTCATCCTCAAATTCTCACTTTCAGTCAGCAGCTGTAATGAAAATATGGCAGACAAGAAATCACTAACCAAAGTGGAGCCAGAAAAAGAAAAGGAAAAAGATTCAGAAGAAGAAATCACCTCCATTAAAGTGGTAACCAGCTGTGCTTTTTCTCTGTTCTTTTCATTGAAAGCCTCAAGAGCATCTTTATATTCTCTCTCCTGTGTTGAATCAGGGTCAAAGTAAGTGTTGGGTTAGGTTATATCATGTTGTTCAGCATTTTTAGATAACAGCAAAGATACTCATTTCGAAGTGAAATTCACCTTCTTCTGGCAGCTCTGTCCAAGCGATTTCAACTCTCGGTTAGCCATGTCAATTTTCCTGCGCACAGTGGCAGCTTCCTTCCTCGTTGGATCAGCCAACTCTTCGAGTTCCTGATTCAATAGTTCAGACACCATATCCTTTCTACCTAGATACGTAAACTTGACAAAATGTACATGCCATGCTAAAACTTACTTCCCAAATCTGTTTCAAGCGCCTTGTTTCTTCTTCAGCTTGACCCATACGGTGTTCAACTTTCTCTCTCACTTCCGTCTTCTTCTTCTCAATCTCCTCCTCCCTGTCTCGAAATTCAGATATTGCTAGCCTTGAAATCTCCTCGCCCTCATTTCCTTCCATTGATAGCCTCCCACTGCTCGCTTTGCCTCCTATGTTCATTTTCTGCATTGAATCTCATAACCGCTATTCTTAAAGACTTTCTTCAGGCAGCAAACTCCCCGTTTAGGTTTTGCTTTTGCTTCAAAACTCTACTTCTGATGAGATGACTTGCTTTCTTTTCACTACATTTCATAAAAAAGCAAGAGAAATACAACCGATAAGTGGTCTACAGGAATTGCTTTCCTTTCACAGTATCCCTCCAATCCAAACTTTGGGCTGAAAGAGGATAGGCAAACTATAATTTTGGATTGGGAGACAATTGAAACATGTTAAAATTCTTTTATTTTATCGAAACTTGTTTAAAAATGTACATATATGTGCATGTGTGATGGCACGTGTATATCAATATACTAATTATATTGATAAATTTGTAATTAAGGTTCTCAAATTTTATATGGGTTTATTTGTTAATAAAAATGTAATAAATGGAGAACTCCTGAGTAGAGCAAGGGGTAGCTCCCCGCATAAAACTTCTCATGGGCCTTGAGTTCGAGGCCAATCCATTCCCTTTTTTCCCACAATGTAACCATGTTAAAAAAAAATGTAATAAATATATTTTTTTATAATTAATTTATAAAAAAATTTTATAAGGTAAATT